TCGTTTCTATGGCAGTGTTAATCATAACACTAAAATGAGTCATGTGTGGCTTCATTGATGACAGCGGAACACTTAAAGGGGTCATATGATGCTGCTAAAAAGAACATTATTTTGTGTATTTGGTGTAATGAAATGTGTTTATGCGGTTTAATGTTCAAAAAACCTTCTACGCCTTCTTTCTTTGCGTGAACATTTGGGCGGCGTTATGCAAATCTTCCCACATAGTGATGTAGACATGTGGGGGCGTGTTAGAACGAGCTGTTTTAGGTAGGCGTGGCTGACTCTTAACTTTTATAAAGAATATCTCTTTGGATTTGAGACTTTAGTCTTTGCAACTTTACAGATCTTCTTTATGCACCAAGAGCTTGTAACACTCCAAAGAGAAAGGAAAAATTGAAATCGCATCATATGACCCCTTTAATCGCTCATTAATATACGTCTTTATGCTCTCGCAAAATACTGAATACATGCATTGGCTAATATAGTAATGTAGAGGTTGCTAGGGCTGCACGATAAATCGAAATGGAATCGAGATCGCGATTCGACAGAAGCTGATTGTCATGAGGTTGCTACCAAAAATAAATGGTCATGTTTCACCTCAAAAACCAAGAGAGGGAAAAAAATAGCAAAATATGAAATAGATTCTTGAGATTCCCCCAGTTAGGTGGAAAGCTCTACACATATTTCCATTAGACATTTATTCATTAATTTTTTTATTTGCATTTTTTATTTTTTTATTTGCATATATTATCATGATAATTATGCACATTTCCTCCCCCAAAATTCATCAGTAATACACTCGGATGTTTTATTTTTAAACTTTTTTTGCAATTGTCATTATTCTCAATGTTCATTGTTATTATATTCTCATAAATGTAATGTAGTATTTTTACTTAATGCAAAATATAATTTCTATAGTTTCAAAATATTGTTTATTTATTGTGATTTTACAGTTGAAATGTGCGTTTTCCCAAAAGCATCGTAAGCCTAAATAGATCTTGGAGACATTTGGTGCCAAATGGAGGGAAATGTATTGCTTTTACGTGTTGTTAATGGTTCAAGTGAGAGAAGTCAAGCTTTTTCTTAATTTTTTGTACCTTATTTTATTTTATATAAAATGATTTTATTTTAAATGTTTGACAGATTTATTTCTAGTCAGAAACTTTGGCATGACGCAGCATAAGAGGAGTTAGTAATGGCTAATGGGATCAATCTGCACATCCTGACTGAAAACTATCATCACAGAGAGCTTTCCATCCTAAGTTTAAAGTGATTTCTACTTAAGCTACTTAAGGAAAGTAGTGCTTTGCTTCTAGAATAAGGTTTTGAGTTGCGTTTCGCACAAAGAAATGGTCATTAACAAGTTCTTCAGTGAGTTATTAACACTCCCTCATGGCTCAGTAAATGTCTCGTTTCATTCACAATGCATTTCATTCGCGCAAGCAAGCCTCTGCTCTTCAGAAACCGGGGATTTCTAGCCTAATGAATGATTTATGCAGAAGCGTATGAGTCTTTCAACAGGCGATCTAGGATGCTGACACAGACATTACAGCAGCTGCTCCAAAAATACACCAGCTGCATCTAATGCTGATTTCATAATGGCCCGCTTACTGTTGAATTCCAGCGATTTAAACCTTTCTGAACTGCTCTTTCAGACAAGGTGTGAACAGTGAAGTGAGCGGAGGATTATTGCGATCATGTGGCCACACCTGAATGATAAAGTCATCATTAGTCACTGGATCGCTCACACACACACACACACACACACCACACACACACACACACACACCACACCAGTGTCGACTCAGCTGATGTCACAGACGCTTCGCTCATGTGTGTAATTTTATTATTCATGTTGTGAAAAGAGGTTTAGTTTGCTTAAACGGGCTGAAAAGCAAATTTAGCCTTCACAACAAAAGTGTAGGATTTGACGTTGCTTTATAACGTCAGGGTGATGGAGTTGTGTTTTAGGCATCATGCTTTTAGATATTAAGGCAGGCGAACAGATATTTGTTGGTGGCCTTTAACTAGTCGTAACACTCCCGCCTTAATCACAAACAAATATCTACCAACCAATGTTTGCAGAAGAGCTTTCCGCCTGACCGTTCATGAATAGCTTGATAACATGTAGGTTAAGAGAACACGTCTGTCATTTGCTTTTTGCTTTCCAAATGATATTTTATCATCTGGTTTTCCATGTCATCAAATGGGGCCGAACATATATACTTATATGTCCCATTCACATAGTATCCGTCCTAAATAGTATTTGAAATTACAGTTAGTGTTCATTTTGTCAGTTATTTTTAATTTAGTCTTAGTTTTAGTCCTAGTGTCAAATGTACTTTTTAGTTAATATCATATTTATTCAACCTTGTCCTGTTTTTGTTTAGTCAAGTTTTAGCCGACTAAGGCCCGGTTTCACAAACGGGGCTTAGCTTAAGCCAGGACTAGGCCTTAGTTAAATTAAGATATTTAAGCAACTTTTACAAAAATGCCTTAGAAGAAAACATTACAGGTGTGCATCTTGACACAGAACAATGACACTGACATATTTTAAGATCTGTCAGAGCAAGATATTTTCAGTTGAGACGGCTCAAACATGCATTTTAGTCTGGGACTTGCTTAAGCCTTGTCTGTGAAACCGGGGGTAAATGTCTGAGCATTTTAGTCTAGTTTTAGTCAATGAAAACGTTTTGTCACATTTTCGTCATGCTGTATAAAATTAAACTGGTAATTTAATTTAATTTATTAATTTTTTTTTTTGCTCAAAATTTTAGTCGAAAAGATTGTTGTCATTTGAGAAATTAATTTTTACATTTCAGGTAGTGCACTTTCACCAATAAGCACAAATTAATAGAATGTGGACTCATAGACATGGCTTATTTTGCCTCATCTAGTGTACTGATTTATTATAGGCTATTTATATAAATTAATATCAAAGACTTAGATATGCACTCTCTCTGTATACATTATGAAAACAGGCAAAAACAAACAAAAAAGATTTTAACAGTGAAATTCCTAATAGTAATTCCAAATTGCAATAATGTTCCTCTATTAAAACAACAGCGGTCGAGTAAGTGCATTTATTTAGCAACAAAATAGTCAAGATCTCATGACAGAACACAGACTGGCTGAATGACACTTTCATTTAAGCCGAACATGCTGGTTAGTTTTTTCACCCAGCATGCAGTTTTTGCATGATGTTTGAGTATGAAACATAACATACATACAGCTCTGACGCCCAGATTTACGACACACACACACACACACACACGGGATTCCTGTGGGCTTGTGATGTTTGCCATGGTTTCTGTCTGCCAGCTCCACCCGAGTGCTGCTGCGGCGCTGTGAATCATACTGAGACACACTCACTGGGGTTATATTTGGCAAAATGAAATATTTTCTTCATATTCTTTAACTTGTTTCCTGATCAACTTTTCTAATAAACCAGGCGTTGTATGTTACGAATATTGTTGGCTCTCTGACGGATTGCTTTTGTTACTCTTTTGTAAGTCGCTTTGGAGAAATGCATCTGCTAGCTCATGTAAATGTAATCCAGTTTATTTCTCTCTCTCTGTCTTGATTGAAATCCAGTAACCCATTAAAAACTGCTAATACAAACAATTCTGTGAACAAATAAATTAGTGAGGTCAAATACTCTTATGCAGCGACTCAAATGCTTGCAGATGTTGTAGTGTGTTTGTGCATCTTTCTTTACAACAGCAGACACTCGGACTGATATTTTAATATCTAATGCAGCGACATTCAGACGTTTTAGTGTGGCTTTGGAGTCCAGCTGAGGGTTAGTGCTGTTGTTAAAAGTATACAATTATTATTATTATTATTATTATTGTTGTTGTTGTTAGCGGAAAAAAAGCGCGCAGCCTTTGATTTTGCTCATCAATCTTGGCCTTTGCAGGTTTGTGTGTTTGAGTAAGCTTTAATATTCAATTGTATAAATATATGCACTCGGAGTACAAATTAGAATTTATATATATTTGTAATCTTTACGTTATTAGTAAAAGAGTACTAGTGAATAATAATTGAATCTTTTACGGCAGCAACTTTCTCATTTTGAAGCAATAAATGCATTGCATCAAAATAAATTTGTTACCATTTAGATAGCACGACATCAACATTATTTAAAAAATAATTAGCAATAATTGGTTATATATTATCATTGTAGTCGTTTTAAGATATTCATCATTCATATTATGTATTCATTGTTGTAGACTAATGATCATTTAGTTATTATTGTGTCAAACAGGGCTGTGTATGAATATATGTATTCTAACTATTAATTTGAATTAATTATGATTTTATATGTATTTTAAATTTTTAAGTAACTCTTAATAGTACTAGTGCAAAATTACTGAACCTTTTACAGCAATTCATTTTGAAGCATCAAAACCGAAGCTGAAAATTAATTTGTGATCATTTTGAAAAAAAAGTAAATTATACATACAAGTACGGAGTAATATTAATTAACTATATGTACTTACTATATGGTTAGGGTTTGGCTTAGGGTTACTTGCATGTAATTATGCATAATTAATTGTTATTATAATAGTAAGTACATGTAACGTGTAACAAGGACACCTTAAAATAAAGTGTTACCAATAATTATTATATATTTTATATATGCTATTGTTGTTTTCAAGATATATTAATATGAATATTAATTTTATATAAGAGGAATATATTCATGTATGTTATGGATTCATTACTGTAGTCTAATGATCATTTAGTTATTATTATGTTAAACAGTGCTGTGCACATAAATGATGGGAAAAATACTGTCTCCTGATATCAGCATCAGTTAAAAAAAAGTGTGTTTGTGTGTGTGTGTGTGTGTGTGTGTGTGTGTGTGTGTGTACTTGCATACATGCAAAAATACAACATGTCAACCACCAAAGAGATTTCATATCTTGCATGCCGAGTTTGAGTGTCAGATGTCTTTCCATCAGTCTCATCACTCTAAAGTTTTATGTTTTTTGCAGTCTCCACATGTATGACCTCCTGTAAGAGGGTGGCTCCACCTCCTGTTCCCCCTCGAACCACCTCCAAACCCTTCATCTCCGTCACCGTGCAGAGCAGCACCGAGTCTGCGCAGGACTGCTTCCCCGACCACCACGACCGCAAGAGCGAGGTCAACAGCCAATCAGGACGCAGCAACTCCTCCGACAGCCTCGACAGCCTGGCCAAAGGGTCACGACCCCAGCTTCCTGTAGCGCCGTCCCGTGAACCCCAGATCCCAGCGGCTGTGGTCATCTCTCCCAACCCGCTCCGAGAGTCCCATCATGAGCAGGTGAAGGCTGCAGACGAACGCCCTTTAGACCCCGTCCCGCGACGGAAACTCTCCTCCATTGGGATTCAAGTGAGTTTAGTCTGTCACACACTTAAGTACGAAAGGATTTGAATCATTGAATGTTAATACATGATATTTCATTGCCGTTTGCAGGTCGACTGTATTCAGGAAATCCAGGATAAAGAAGAGACGCCACCATTGGCCAGATTCCAGTCGATCGGAGTTCAAGTGGAGGACGGCTGGACGTGAGTTTGTTTCGCTTCCCGTTTCTTGCTCACTGTACGATAAACCCTGTAAAGTCTCCGAAATAGAACTCGAGAGTAGTGTTAATTTTGTCAGCTATTTTTAATTTAGTCTTAAGGGCCCGTTCACACCAAGCACGAGAACTATAAAGATAACGATAAAGATATAGTTCTAAAAATCATTCTCAATATTAAAGAATAGCAGAGTACCACACCACACCACAACTACAACGATAAAGACTAAGAGAAGCGATATCGTTGGAATCACTTTCAGAACGATTTTTTTCCAGCTGATGAACGATACAAACATTGACAGCCAATCAGAATCCATCCTGCTATATCGAGCTCGAGAATTTAAAGCGGCAGACGCA